GATATCTTAAGGCAAAGTTGCCTACGAAAGTACAATAAATAGCCAATTAGGTTAATAAATATTCATTTTTCACACTTTATTAGCTATTTATTATATTTAATTAACAAATAACAACAATTCATCAATTATTTACAGCTATTTACTACACTTCAGTAACCAACATTCCCTCGAGAAATCCTAATCCTCGTAGCTTCAGTGATCAACCCCCGAAGGAATTGTCGGCACCAAAGCTTCAATGGCCGGCCACCAACAAGAATCACCAAACTTTGATGCCAGGTAGCTAGTAAACCGAAGCTTCGATGACTAGCAATGAGGGTGCTGAGATGGCACTTTTTTTGTTTAAAAAAATAGCTATGACGTTTTTCTGGTCTTTCTTCTAAATATAATTGAAAAAATGATAGAAAAGGAAAGTAAAAATTACTAAATCTCAAATTAAGTTCGATAACAACATTTTATTTAGTGTTGATAATACTAAATTTATAAATAATAATAAATTTTTGTTGATATTTTTTACTTGGCATTTAATAATTTTCAACTTCTCTTGTTTGTTTCTTTTTCCAGTGGAATTTGTCTTTTGGTCCATTATTTCTAATTTTTCCTTTCCTCAGCAGCATTAATCTAAAGGGCAGTTGCCTTTTTGCCACGTAGCGAGTAACAGCGCGTGGAGTCACGACTCGCCCGTCTCACGGAATCCAAGTATGCATAGTTATTACCATCAAATCCTTAAAAAAAAAAATTTACTAAAAAGTCCTAATAACAATTTGAACAGTCTATAATAACAAGTTTTATAGTGAAAAATAATAATCTCTAAGATGTTATATACTTATGTGATCTTATTTATAAAATAAAAAAAGATATTTTTACTCCTATTTATAAAGTACTAGAAAAATTTTTGAGAAAATACCAAAAAAAGCACTTGGAATATAAGAAATTCTAGATTGGGTCTTGAAATTTTGAAAATGACAGAAAGGGTCAATGACCCAATCTGTCATTTGCAAAATCAAGAGAAATTGACAACTTTGCTCTCATATGTATTCACTGCAATGATTTAAGGAATCACTACAGGGGTTTAGACGTTACCTAGATTTGTGTAGAGAATAACTACTCACTTTTTCGTAGTCAGGTGCCTTGTAGTTAATAACAAAAGTAAGTAGTTATTCTCTACACAAATCTAGGTAACGTCTAAACCCTTATAGTGATTCCTTAAATCATTGTAGTGAATACAAATGAGGGCAAAGTTGTCAATTCCTTTTGATTTTGCAAATGACAGATTGGGTCATTGATCCTTTCTGTCATTTTCAAAATTTCAGGACCCAATCTGAAATTTTCTATATTCCAAGAGCTTTTTCTAGAATTTTCCCAAAAATTTTTATATAGATGTGTAATTTTATTTTTTATTTATTATTATATTAACTTTGTTTACATAAGATTTAAAATTTGTTGAATTTTAAATGAGATTTAATGAAATTTAAAGTTTTCTTTGATCTGTGTGAAACATGCTGAAAGTGACTTATAAATAGGATCAGAGGAGTATAAACTTTAGTTTTGATGAAGAGTTTAGTCCAAAATATAATTTTTATTTTTGAGTTTGTTTGAATAGTTATTGTTTATTATTTTATTTTTAATTGACTTTATTTAGTACTCTCTCTCACATTAATATTACTTTCATATATTCTCTTTCATTATTTTTTTCATTTATTGCCTCTCTTATTTACTTTCTTAATAAATAAGGGTAAATTTAAAAAATAAAAATATATTTATAAAATATTTATTATTTTTAACTAATTTTAACTGTTAGTTTGTTAAATGTATTTCGGTTATTTAAAACTTATATATAGGACAAAAGGGAGTATATGAAACTTCTCTTTAAATGATAGTAAGCGGCTACTGTTAATATAAGAATTAGTTAATTAATTTGAATATATGTAGAATATTAATTAAATTAGTTAATATGTTTTTTTTAAAAACACCTTAATCATCTTTCCTAATTCCATCCCTCCATCTACTACTTGATTGTTGTTGAGAATATTAATAGGATTAATTTGAAAAAAAAATTGATAAACATGTTAAATAAATTTTACATAAAGGACTATTATTAACTCTCAAATTAGATCATACATTAAAGACTGAAGAAGCAGTATTATGAATTTAAAATTATTTATAGAAAAATAGTTTTGGATTAAATGAAAATAGTAAAATAACAAGAGGAAAAGGTTCGATTGGGCTTTTTCACAACTGCATATGTGGAAATTTATAACAAAAAATAGGAAAATAACAACTAAAAATATGAAAATTTATAAGAAATAATACAATATTAACAACTCTATACATAGGAAAATAAACTAAAAATATGAAAATTTATAACAAATAATATAATATTAACAACTCTAATTCATAACAAATAATAGAAGATTAATAACTCCGCGCATGAGAATTTACAACAAATAATTAAAAATTAAAAAATATTTTAATAAACTAAGAAGTTACATGTTTTTTCTTTTTAAATATCTCAATATAAGGTGTGTGTGTACACAAAGACACACTAGTTACAACAAAAATGAAGGGAAGGGTAGGAGGAAATTAAAGTGTGGTTGGTTGAAAAAAAGGAAAGAAAGATACAAAAAATCTGTCTTTTGTGCTCCGCATCAATATTTCCGACCTTGACAAAACTACTCACGACACTTTTTAATATTCCAATGTTACCCCTTTTGATTTAAAACCTTTTTTCCAATCTTGACAAATTGTTCATTACACCTCGAAAATTTGCTCTTTTCTTAGTGCTTGTCCTTTATTTTCTTCTTATTTAATTTGCGACTTATTTATTATTGATAGGTTATATATTTTTCTTTTTATTATTAAAAATTGTCATTCATAAAATGGAGAAAAAAGGGACTTAGTGTGGGCCGAGATACTTTTTTCCTTTTGGACAATCGAACCCACTTCGTATCAATAGAATAAAACACAAATTAAATTTCGTTTGCCCCATCCTAGGTGTAATAGCTTATAGATTAGTTTGTTTTAATCTAAAATATAAGGGAGTTTTCTATCAAGCAGCTAGTTTTCATACAAATGATTAAAATAGAATCTTTAACTAAAATGCATTTTTACAAAAAAAAAAGTAATTAACTAATCTTTTTAACGATCAATATCATTTTTAGTTCTTATAATTGGATTAAATTTTAATTTTGATCCCCATAATTTTAAATTATTTATTTTGGTCCTTATAGTTTCATAAAAATTACATATAGGAACTATTCGTTAAATATCAAAACCAAAACTTATTAAAAGTATAAAAACTATTTATTAAACCGAGACAAAATTCTTATGATGAAACTATAATGACCAGGCGATTTGAAACTACAAATACCAAAATCAAAATTTGATTAAAATATAAAGACTACGTATCTCAATAACGATAGATGCCATATGCATCCACGCAAAGAAAAGCGTGAGTAGGTCAAGTTCACTTATTTGAAGGAGGGAGTGGGGTGAAACCTACATAATATATAGCATATTTCACTATCTCTTATATAGTCTAGGCATGCGCCATTAATGACGCATATCATAGCGCCCAGCCAATTATTATAACTTCGTCTTTGGAGTTTGGACCCGAAAAAATCAATTAAAATTAATAAAAACAATAAATATACTGAAAATATATTTTTATTTTCAAATATGCTCTTATAATAAATGAGAATAAAGATAAAAAAGAATGTACAAGGAAATGTAATGAGAGGGGTTATGGCAAAAGAGAGAAAATAATAAGTAAGGATAAAATTAAAAAAGATGCTAAGATAAACTCAAATTCAAGCTTATAAAATGAAATTTATCCTTCTCCAAATTTAAAACTTATAAATGGAACTTGCGGGGGTAATATTATTATAGGTCATGACGTAATTCATTATGTGAGAATTGTACATGAGAGGTGACATGGGCTTTCATGGAAATAATTAATGTATTCAAGCATACCATCAACTAGGTTAAATTGAGAAAATTCCAAAGAACAAAAAATCAAACCAGACACTAAAATAGTTGAGGTAGTATTCAAGAGTTAGTGGGTTATGCCAGGGTCAAACTAGAATCAAATCGATCATATTAAAATAATATAATTTAATTAAAAATAAAAAAGTACAACAATAATAATAATCACTAGTAACAAAATGTAAGAAAATATAACAATAGTTTGATTGGAATAATAACAAGGTATAACAACATTGAGAATTTTGATCCTTATGATTCCTTAATAACTAAAATTAATAATCATTAACACTAAAATCATTATTAAAATTCTTAATTTATAGTGACTGAGATATTAGAAGATAAATAAAAAAAAAAGACCAACAGCAACATGACAATCCATACTGGTTCATCATCGGTTCACCCCAGTTTGACTGATTTGCCACCAGTTCAATTTCTAATAGGTTCAACACTTAAACCAAACCAAACACTGGCCAGTTCACGATTTTTTCGTTGAAAGGCCGGTTCAGTTTGGTTTTTTGTTCATTGGAAAATTCAATACAATTAACTGGTTAAATTGGAAAATTCAAGGTTGTCTTCAATAATACTCTCTCCGCTTGTTATTATAAGTTTTAAATAACTAATTTACATATAACAAAAAAATAGTTAAAAGCACTAAATAGGTTAGAGTTCTGGGTTTGTGACTTCCACTCCTTGCAAAGATGTCTCTTTTGAAACTCAAACTCGATATCCATAAAATTTAATAGGACTTACACGGTTAAACCAACTTTTGGTTGGTTGAGCGTTTGATATTTTGGTGCCCCAAGTATCTTTAAATTTTGAACACATCATATTTAAATTTGGATTATTTTTTTCATGAAAAAAAAATTTTTATAACAGTGTTTTAATGTCCCTTCTCATTACTTTCACATTCTGTACTATTTCTGCCTTCACTAACCCAAGTTGCAGCCTCCCCCACTGATGCTGTTGAGCATTGAAATAGACGCGCGCGTGTGTATATATGTGTATGCGTGTGTGTAGAGGAAACTACTCATCAAGCCATAATCACCCATTTCTCTTGTTCTGAAGCTTTTGTAAAGCCCAACAATGGCGTCGCCGCTTGTGTTATTAGGTGTGATTCTTGTGGCCTCAGCTTGGCTTCTTTTCATGAAAAGAAACAAGTCGAAGCCGACGCCGGCGAGCCTTCCTCCGAGCCCGCCGGCCTTGCCGGTGGTCGGCCACCTTCATCTCCTGAAACCTCTGGTTCACCAAGCCTTGCATGAGCTCCAAGCCAAATATGGGCCTCTCATGCACCTTAGGCTTGGCTCAACCAACTTGGTCGTAGCCAACACTCCTGAACTCGCAAAAGAGCTTCTCAAAACCAACGAACTCGCTTACTGTGCTCGTCCCATGAACATCGCCATCAACCTCGTAACCTACGATAATGCTGCTTTTGCTTTCTCTCCTTACGACGCTTACTGGAGATTCATCAAGAAGTTGAGTAACACAGAGCTTTTGGGAGGCCGAACTATCCGGCAGTTTCTTCCAGGTCGCACCGGCGAGATCCACCGGTTCATTAAGAACCTCCATGGTAAAGCCATGGTGGGACAGAGCGTTAACCTAAGCCAAGAACTCATGAAGCTGTCCAGCAACGTTATCTCGCTGATGATGCTGAGCATTGAGACCACCGGCACCGACAGCCAGGCGGAGGAAGCTCGGAATCTGGCTCGGGAGGTGACGCAGATTTTCGGGGAGTTTAACGTCGCTGATTTCTTTAAAATCTGCAAAACCTTGGATGTTCAAGGGTTTAGAAAGAGAGCCATGGATCTGCACAAGAGATTCGATGCTTTCTTGGAAAGAATCATCTCCGCTCGCGAGGAGTCTCGAAGGCAACAAAAAGCTTCTCCCGAGGCACAGAACGGTGGAGACGGAGAAGAGAAAGTTAGGGACTTTCTTGACATTTTGCTGGACGTCGCCGAGGATAAGACTTCCGAGGTTTCTGTAACTAGGAACCATGTTAAGGCATTAATCTTGGTGAGTATATTATAATATGTAGATATAATACTACATTTCTTTTGTTCTTTTCCCCTTCTTCCCAGACATCATGGATGTTTCAAGAAAGCTCCACTATGATTGAATATTTGGATGATGTTCTTGTTTTAAGCTAATTAATTAATTAAAAGCCTTTTCTTTAATCATGATGATCCTTTGCTCCTAGACTTCCTAGACGTAGGAGTTACTACATAAGACCTTTTTTTAATTTTAAATACATGATGTCAATTCATTTTATCTTTATCAATTTACACTTTTTCTTATTTTTAATATATGTACTGTTTAACTAACTTGAGTAAATTAAAAAAATTAGATAAATTATTTAATTCTAATAAATATGACTTGATCTCCTTAAATTACAAAGATATCACTAATTTTTTTAATTTTTACAAATTAATTATCTAGTTTTGACATTTAGGATTTGAAGAATATTTATTACACTCAACTACATATCTACTTTTCTGATGATTTGTTGTTGTTAAAGGATTTCTTCACGGCGGGAACGGACACGACGGCGACGGCGGTGGAATGGGCAATTTCGGAGCTGATAAATAACCCGAGGGTTTCGAAGAAAGCACAAGAGGAGGTAGACAAAGTGACAGAAAACAAGAGACTAATAAGTGAAGCAGATATACCAAACCTTCCATACATTAATGCAATCGTTAAGGAAATAATGAGGCTTCATCCTCCAGTTACTATGATCAACAGAAAGGGAACACAAGATTGTTTGGTGAGTGGTTACTTGATCCCCAAGGAAACAATGTTATTCATCAATGTCTGGGCAATGGGAAGAGATCCAAAAATATGGAAAAGTCCCTTAGAGTTCGTACCAGAGAGGTTTTTGGAGGGAAAACAGAGTGGCCTGGATATCAAAGGGCATCACTATGAGTTATTGCCTTTTGGTACGGGCAGAAGGGGCTGCCCTGGGCAACCTCTTGCCCTGCAGGAACTGCCCGTTGTCATTGGAGCATTAATTCAGTGTTTCACTTGGAAGCCATTGGATTCTGAAGGGAAGATCATCGATGAAGGAAAGAGGATTAATATGGATGAACGGCCAGGATTGACTGCTCCCAGAGCCAATGAGTTGTTATGTATTCCAGTTGCAAGGTTGAACCCTACTGCTTTCCTTCAAGTTTGAGCCACGTCATCATTCATGCCTTGGGTGGGGTCGTCGTCAGTGTTCTCTGCAACTTGTTTAATAATTTCACTTATTGGCTAGAAGGTTTGTGCTAAGAGATCTATTTGTTTTATTAATAATGTTTATGGGATTTGTGTGGTGTAAAAGAGTGTATTGTGTAGTTAGTGTTTTCCATCTACTACAATAAAGCTATTAAATGAACGAGAGCAAGTAACAACAACAGAAATAATTTCCTATTCCAATTTGTGAGTTAGTTCATATTTTACAAACCTAAAAAAAAAACTTTAAACTTTCATTAACTTTCATTTAAAATTTAATAACTTTTTAACTTTATCCCTATTTAATATATACTATACCCTTTGTATCAAATATATATATATATATATTATACCCTATGAAAACAAATTTAACACAATAATAAATAAAGAGTAAAATTGTACATTCATATAAAAAATTTCTCTCTCTACTCTACAAATAGGACTACAAACTTTTTTTTTCTTTTTATCCTATAAATTGGATCAGAGGAATGTACAACATCAATTATACTCCTTCCCTCCTACCCCCTTTTATAAGAGAATTTTTTAGAGTTCTCTTGATTCTATTTCTGGTAAACAACAATTCCATATCAGAAACAACAATCTCCTTTTATGGAGCATTTATTAAAACTTTTCTTTTATATCCCCTTATTGAAAGAGAGTATTTATTAATGACATCAATTATTAAAGGGAAAAAACAATTGCTAAATGAGGATATCTAATTAATGAGCTTGATTTCAAAAATTGAGGAAGTGGGGTTAAAAGTTTTCAATTCATTTTTATTATTCTTTTATTTTACATCTTCTCTTTATTAAAATTTTAACACCCCACTTTTCTAATTTTGCAAATTGAGTTCATTAAAATTCCCCTTCCCTTCCCTTCCCTCCCCTCCCCTCTATTTTTCTCATACCAAACATAGGGTTATACCTACCAAGAGGATCATATAGTAGTTGAATTCAAATCTATATATACCTATTGAGCGTTGTTCGTCTATTTGATTATTGATCTAAAGTTATACTCTTTGGGAAAGATATGTGATCGTATAATTGTATCCTAATTGTCTAGATGTTTACTGCTATTGCAGTGAACTGTATTTTTTTTAAAAATTAGTAGATATCTAAGTGATGCTATTCGACTATTCATCATATCTGAAGAATTTGCAGATCATATGATGACGAGTTTAGTATTCAGTTTACAACTGTAATTGTGCTTCACTAAAAATATTTGTAACCATTTGGTTTTCTCACTCAAATGTCAAAATCTCAAAATTAAAAATGAAAAAAAAAATAAAAGGAAAAATGTATATAATTAGTTTTATATATATTCAAAGTGCTTAATTGTTTCCGATAAAATCAATATATGTGTGGATTTCTATTATATTATTAATTTGCTAGCAACTATCGTTATGAATATTATTAATGCTTTAAAATGAACTTATTCTAATTTGATTGAATAAAAGTACATTAAACATATAAGACTAAGCATCTAAGTCTTTTAAATAGCAATATACATAAAATGTTTCGCTTAGTTTAAAGCGCCAAATATTGTTCTCTCCCATTCCTAATCTTTTTGTGTGGTGAAACTCTCCCTCTTAAAGTTGTATAGACTCTTCACCAAAAAACAAAAGTATAGACTTATCTAGTACTACTTTTTATAATTTTAAGTATAAAAATTAGTTAACTAATTATTATATATTAAAAAATTAATTAAGTTGATTAATTATAAAAAAAATTTCTGTTAGTTTTTTGGAAAATATCACCTAATGATAGATGTAGTTTGAGGGGGAAAAAATAAATATGAGATAGAAAATGCTACTTCCAGTTATACAAACAAGGTTTTATAATTAGGACCAGAAGTAGTATATTGAGATTTTATATTTAAAATTAAAATAAATTTCTTAACTAACTTATATAATTAAAGACTAGAAAGATTATTGTTTACCTTAGCCGTCCTCTCTCCCTGAAACAGTCTTAGGCATTAGTCATTTATTGCAAAGATGAATATCATTCATCAATGTTACCAGAAGGTTGTATTATTCAAATACAGTTTTCATAGTCTAAATTTAAAATTTAAAATTATTTTTTAAATAAAAATTATTTTTTGAAAATTGACAATTAAAAAATAATTTTTATTTTAGATTACTTTTATTTTAGATTATGTACAAATTAAAATATTAAAGAATAAAATTATATTAATTCCTAATAAATTTTAACCTGAACGATCTAAGTACTGATCATCGCCCAATGTGAACTCTCTCTCCATGTCCGATTGTCCGCACTGGGCCAGTTACAAGATTTATTTGTTAGTTTGTTTCTATAGTGGTTTTGATTCGTTTAGTGGGCACACGTTTGGTTGCTGTTTCAATTTTCGTTTCCTTTGACAGTTAGTTGTATGTGTAGATGTTCTTTTTCCACTTTTAATTTGATTAATTTGTGAATATCGTTTGTTTTCAAAATTCGTATTCTCGCTATAAGAGTTAGTAAAGAAATTTATTTTAATCCAAGACATTAATCCATTTTGTTATTTAAATTTATAATTTTTAAGGTCCTTTTAATTGTGTTTTACAAGTCAATACTACCTACGATTCTTAATATAATAGCTAGTTTGATATTCAATTTGGTTCTAAATATAAGACTTCAATTTACTTTATTTCTCATATTTATCGATTTTTTTAAGATAGTTCTTTTATTAGCTACACATGTTAAAAATTTCATCCAATGATAGTTCTAGCTAATACATATGATTAGTAACAATATTTCAGCAAAAACAACATCTCTTTATTATAAATAACTAACTTAACTAATTTTTTTAATCTATTCAAATTAATCAACTAGTTTTTATATTAAAGACGAGAGGAACTATAATTAACTTTTCAAGGAAGTTGCCCCGTGCAGCAGGAACTGGGAAACACCAAAAGAGGGAGGAGATTGGTTCGATGGAGAAGTATCATTTGTGAAGGTGAAGAAGCTCTGGTTTGCAAGAAGTGTGTCCTATATTTACTAGGAACGAGAGCCATAATATATGTTTTTATTACAACTCAAAACTACAAAAATAGTTCTTTTTAAAATACAAGGTTTAGATGCCTGATTTACATATGTTAAAAAAATTAGTTAAGTTAATTATTTTTTAGAAAATATGTGTCACTTTATGATACCCTGTGATAATTTGCAATAAAAACTACCCTGAAAGCCATTATTCTTTAGTATATACAATTAGTAAGTATAGTTTGACAAAAAAAATTATAAATTTAAAAACAACATAGATATTGAGTTTTTATTTTTAGAACAAAAACAAACATTTCAATTATCTTTCCTATATCTGGGAAGGAATTGAAAGGAGTATTAAATTCCTTCTTGTTATAAAAAATGTCTCAACTTTCATGCAAATGCTAAAAGTAGTTAAGTACAGATGTGGTATCCAAACTGCTGGCAAAAAAAACAAAATGTGGTATCCAAACAGTTGGCCAAAAAAAGGTGGTATCCAAGCAGATTCTCAATCTTAAACTCCCCTTTAAATGGTAGGGATAGTCGGATAGAAATTGCTTTTTAAGTGGGCCCGCCATATTCTCAATCTTCCCGTGACGTGGTATCATTGCCTTCTTGTACCCGACATGCTGTTTTGACTAATTTAAAAATATTAAAAAAATTATTAAATTATTAAATTATAGTATATATTATATAATTTTAAAAAAAATATATTTATGTATCATTAGATTATATATCAATTAGTTAATAATTATAAATATAAATATTTTAAAATAATTTAATAACTTTTTTAATTTTTTTAAATAAATTAACTACTACTTTCGATCTTTAGTATAAGATTCTTTTTTACTTTTATGTTGGTCCTAAATATAAAACCTTAATCTATTTTGTCTCTCATATTTATCCAGTTTTTTCAAGATAGTCTTTTAATAATTATAGTTTTATCTAACACATTTGATTTGTGAGGATATTTTAGGAAAGACAACACTTATTTATTACAAATAACTAACTTAACTTCTTTTTTTAATTTTCTTAAATTAGTCAACTAGCTTTTATAATTAAAACCGAAAGTAGGAAATCTTATATTAAAAATTAGAAATAATGTACAAGATTCCCCCCTGTCTTGTCCTCCTTCAGCCTCTAGCCATGAAGCATATCTACCTTCACGACTCTCTTTCTCTCTGTACACATTTTTTAATTAAAAAAAATCCGAGTCTAGAAGGAAGCAGGAGACAAAAGAGAAAAAAAGTAAAAGATATAATAGATTGAAATTTCCTTATTTGATATTTTGGTTATTGTATATTAATTTATATTTAATTATACATAATAAAAATATATTTATATAAGGTCATACCAAACATATTCACTGTAATCACCATTGCATTACATTTCATTATATTCTCATTAATAGAATGGACCACAAGTCTATATTCTTCTGTTATTCTCATATTCTGAACTAATTACCATTGATCCTAATGTCAAAAATAAAAAAAAAAGTACAAATATTATTCGTTTGTTAATATTATCAACTATTCGTTAATAAAAAGAAAAAAATATCGTTGCTTATTAATTCTTATATAATCTTGATTAAGATAATTTAAGAAAAAAATAAAAATGAAAAAAGTTGAAAATTATAAAATCCCAGAATGTTGCATTGAAATTATATAATCTCATTGAGATGTTAGATCTTAAAATAGAGTTTTGAAATTCAGCCAAAGAAACAGGAAAGCTCTTTCTTTTTTCAAAAGAAAAAAAAATCACAATTCCATTACTGATGACCAGTTGTTGGGGGAAATTTATTATAGCAGAGTGGTGACAGTGGGTTTTGATCCCACCCCACTTTTTCACCAAAAGTTTAAATGACTATTGATGAGGTGCTCAATATTCTCAATACAACAATACAAAATAAAATACTATTTCTAATATTTAATATAAGAATTAGATAACTAATTTGAGAAGATTAAAAAAGTTAGTTAAGTTGGTTAATTGTGACAAATGTGTATTAATTTTTTTTAAACTACACTCTTTGATTATATGCATTAGAACTATTCTTTTATAGGAATCCTTTATAATCAATAAGAATATTTTAAATAAAATAATATAAATTTGAGATACAATATTGATTGAGAACTTATATTTAAAACTAGACCCAATCTTTAACTAAATTTTATATTAAGGATCAGAAGTAGTATAAGTTAACCATTAAG